TATGTATGTATGTATGTATGCGTGAAAACTCGCATATTACGTGCACGTATCTAAGCATGCACGCCTTGCAGTGGGGAAGCTCACGATCATTGTCAGGCACACGGCAAGCATGTTCATCAAGATCAACATCACCATGCAGCATTAATATCACCACCACCATCATCACCATCATCATCATCATCGTCATCCTCATCATGATAGATGTGTGTGAGAGCAGGAGACTTGGCATGCTGAAAACCAATGATCTCAAACGGACACTTCCCATCCCATACTGGCATGTGAGCAGACTTACCATGTACTCGTCGCTGCCCTCACAGGATTTCGGGTTTACTTCGGATCAAAGTGCGACTTGCTCGTTAGAAATAATATAGAGTTCTGCAGGCGGGTGAACCGAATGTCTCATGACTTTTCGGCTCAGCTTGTGCTTGGCATCAGGGATTGTGCTATGTAATAATGCCCGTGGCGGCCCTCTGCTCACTGTCTGGTGGCCGCGAAACTCGTTGAGTGCCGGAGGGGGCACCTGATTCTGAAGGCTCTCTTCGAGCCGATGGCGGGTGGACAAGATCGTGGTGCTCTGCTTCTGCAGCTATTGCCAGTGGCCGGCTGGACCCCTGTATCCGCGATCCTGGTACTCCTCATCACCGCCCTCGCTTGGTCTTCGAAGGTGTGCGAGAAGCAGTGTTGTTGGTTGTCGCAGGGGGCATTTCCGCCCTGGGCCGGCCCTTCACCCAGCTCGCCAACAACTGCCGGTCACCTTAGCTCCGACAGCTTACTCAACTGTCCATCTGGTTGGGCCCGGCTGTGCCACCCCGGCCGACACTGGGTACTACCAGAAGCAAGTTCGAGGCAAAGGAGCCGGGGCGAAACTGCATGCTCTGCAAATGGGAGTGAAAATTGGCTCCTGCGAGCGGCCCCACATTCTGAGGCGGAGCAGCAATGATTTATGGACCAGTTGTATGAGGTTGGGCTTCGTCGACACAATTCGTCGACGGTGCCAGTCAGCTCGGCACACACGGTTGTTGTGCTGGATTTCCAGGAAACCACCCAGCAGTGGCAGATTCGAGCGGACATTGTCCATTCTCGTCACCGGCCCGGGCCCGGAAGTGGGAGGTCTTGTATTTGGTGCTGCAAGAACGTCCCCGGAACTTGCGGTATAGTCATACCGCACTGTGCTGTCGGCAACTTCACAGCGTACGCTTGCCTGGGAACTGTTTCTGCTTCTGATCTGGCCTCAGGTCGGTGATCGCTGAAAATGGACAGTTGGTCAGCCGAGCTCCTTATGCGGACCCTGGTCCAGAACAGCCTCGCGATTTTCGAAAGAGCCCGTGGTACACATGTCTATGTAGAGATTTGGACAGCTACTCATCTAGATAAACATATACATACATGCATACATGCATACATGCATACATGCATACATGCATACATGCATACATGCATACCTACCTACCTACCTACCTACCTACCTACCTACCTACCTAGCTACCTAGCTACCTAGCTACTTACCTACATACCTACCTACGTACGTACTTACAGTGTGCTTACGTACATACATACATACATACATACATACATACGTACACACATACACACATACGTACATACATACATACCCACATACATACATACATACGTACATATGTATGTATATTTGTGTGTATATATATTCTATACCTATATCTAGATCATACCTGCAAGCAGGCATGTGAAGTGTGTTGGAGATATTTCGTATCTCTTGCTACATTGTACCTGTGCTGCTGCATCCACGCCTAGCAGCACAATGTCTATATCTGTGTTGCAGTCTCTGTCTGCCTCTATATACCTGTGCCTACAAGATGTGGCGGCTGCGCTTCTTTGTGAAGCCTGACACTCTTCCCCTGAAGCCAAAACCACAAGCTTGCCAATGCAAGCTGGGTGCTGACTCGCGGACATCCCTCGGGTTGTAGCCGAACTTGGCCGCGAGGCTTTTCCGGTACTGGAAGTTCCGATCGTCCGCCGAACACACCTGGGCGCAGAGGTTGCGGAGGATCGGGCTTGGTGGAGAAAAACTGATTTCAGGAATGACCGTGCCGGCAAGGGTTGTGGCTGCCGCCATGCAATGGGATCTGCTGGGTTCATGTGGAATACAGACCGCAGTGCGGAACAATGCGAGACTGCCTGCTCTGGGAGACTCCAGTTCAGACTTTTCAGACTTGCTGAGACTCTCCCTGAACGGGTCGCAGAATAAGAGCTTGGTCTTCTTGCCATGTGTTGATTTTCATACGGAGTTTGAAGACTGCGATTCTCGGGTGCATGCACGGAAGGCTTCCACAGCGCAGAAGATCATATGGCACTACACGCTGGTCAGTTTTTGTGTGTTCTCTAACAAACAAAGCCAATCCAGCAGCCCCCTCCTGGCAGACTCTGGCCGAGCGTCGTAACGACAGTGGAAGCGGCCTATCAAGCTGGTGCTCAGAAGCAGCTACACTTACTCATCCAGCATGGTGCTTCACACCAACAACTGTTTGGCTGCATGACAAGAGCTTCAGGTTTCAGTAGGACACCCTCCTCGCATGGTGTGATCTGCTGAATCTGCTTCGCGGTCACTGTTCACTGGCTTGTGCAGAGTCTACACACGCGCGGACATCAGGTACCAAACACCACATGCCATGTCATATCCTGACCCGTATGCTGCGCTGACACAAACACCCCGTCCTCAAAGTCTTGTATGTATAATGAGCACGCAAGCAAGCGACAAATCATCTTGACATATCTATCCGTCCAGATGAACCCAGCCATCCATCATCCATCCCTCCATCTTGCCGTTGCATGCGCACATGAAGAACACTTCACACCAGCAGAGATAACCCCAAATCAAAATCACACCCTACTGCAGGCCTTCAGTGGGAGATAACCCTTCCCAGCTGCGCGGAATGCCTCAAGAATATGTTCGTACGGTCTTGCCGCTTTGATTGTTCAGGGCTTGGGGCTTAGGCAGTAGCTTGCGATCCCAACGTATCATGAGGACTTCGCTGCCATGGTATATGTCCGATTTGTGACGAGAAAGTGCTCGAGGTCAATCAAGATGTAGTTGGCTAAAGACAGGCAAACGAATGCCGCCAAACAAAGAGCGGTTCGGCAAGAACATGGGAACATAAGATGCGGATTCATTCCAGAAGTGGAACCTGGCAACGCATTCGGGAATTTCGCTTACAATCCTCAACGGAAAATGAAAATGTCTCATTCGATATTAGGCTTTGTAGACTCTAATGTCAACACAAAAGGCACAGCAAGTGCATCTACAGTGGAATGTGCCTGCATGTGCGTGGGCGACATATACATGTACACATATGTACACACGTATTTAAGTAAGTAAGTATGTATGTATGTATGTATGTATGGTATGTATGGTATGTATCTGCACATCTATATACAATACAAACACACGCCCAGCTTTTGCATGTCGAAAGATGTCTAACAGAACGAATACGAATAGTATACGATAACAAAACATCAGCCTACAGACGTACATGCATATATATATATATATATATATACATATGTATGACTGTAAGTATGAATATAAAGACAAAAGCTCCGTTTGAATATATGCATACTCACGTGATTTTTGAAGCAAGCAAACATACACTGTAAGTGAGAGAAGTGTGTATGTTTGCATGTATATGTATATGTGCACGACGGATACATGAGTGTATGAACAATTTACTACATACACAGGTTAAGTGTGGAACATGCATACATCCATGCATCCATACATACATACATACATACATACATACATACATACATACATACTTGCGTATGCACGCATATTATAATGCATCGTCGTTTTGTTCTGGCCAAGTATATACAAGGAGCACATGCTCTGGTGCATGGTGCCAAAACATAGCCTAGACATTACCAAATGCAAGTTGCCCGTCTTGCGAATCATGCCTGCGGTTTCTGCATTTATACCACCCCCCGCTCAACCTTACATCACCATGCGGCCCATCGGGAAATCGTCTTGACTCCCATCCGGCTTAATCCACACGGCGTCCCTGGCGCAGGAGCGGGGTCGTAGCTTCGGCTGTAGAGTTCCCGATAGCAGTCAGACTGGTAGAGTGACGGCTTTGCACTGAACTTCGCGAATGTGTCGATTTTGCACCTAGTGTTTGCATGCGACGGAATCTTCGCGCACGTATTCCAAACCCAGACAAGAACCGAGCTTCTATCCAGTGACACCTGAATATTAGCCACCCTCCAAGTACAGAGAAACATGGACAGCAAGCAGTTTCTTGGTGCCTGATGTTGCCAAACTTCTCTCTTGCTGCGAGCCCAACCAGCATGTTCACACACCTGACAGATGGGTTTTCATGGTGCCATTCTTCTTGCTTCCGGATTCTCAGAAAGACTCCTTTCCGCGACCCTGAAATTCAGGGCCTCCCTGCGTAGACTGACGAGAACCAAGTTTGATTTTGGGAGGCCAAGACGCAATCGATGGTCGTGGAAGCTCAGATCCTAGGCCATGCCGCTCCCGACTCGCAACCAATACTTCTGTACAAGAAAAGGCTGTAACTGTTCCAACACGGCACCTTCCAACTTCAAGGGATGATAAGCTGCAGTTCTACGTTATGAGAGCATGCGGAGCAAATGTCTCCACTTCGCATACGGTCTCTCAGCATGAGTTCTGGGAACCGAAGCCATGTTCGTCCTGCTGAGTATCACCACACCCCCTTGCAACAACAACCATGATGTAGCAATACTGCCGTGATAACGTATCGACGCAAATGGGGTACTTCGGCTGGAAGTGAAGTTGCATTCCCGTGAGCATGCGACCTATGACGGAATGCAGTCACGACATAAGGGGCGAACTTTAAGCCCCACTCGCTTCTGCACAGAGTCAAGTTCAAACTTGGCGTTCTCCGGCTGAAAATAAGGGAAGAAGACGGCCTGCAGCATTTCGCGGGAAATCCCTCGAGGGCAACTTCACCGGTGACAGGTGAGGAAGCCGGGAACCTAAATATTCCAAATACATCGACGAGACAACAGATAGAGTGCTCCAGTCGAAAGTCTAAATTCTTGTGAGCGAGCTCGGGGCGCCTGTGTCAAGTGTTTAAGTACAGTGTGCAAACTGGGTGTTCATTTCCATGGCACTGAAGAAGAAATTCACCCTGCCCGATGCTTCGGCTTCGGCAGGGAGCTTGCCCTCCCCCCTTCCGCGAAAACCGAACTGAAGCCACAATCTTCAACTGTCCCAGACGGACGACTCTGAAGGACCAGCCGTGAATCCGAAACCTGCATCCCAGAGCACCCCTGTCCGTCCTGCCCGAGGCGGTAGCGCAAGTTGTAGACCTCCTCATCCTGGCCACATGGCGGGTTTGTAGTTAGCGAATCGCGCAAGCCCACGTTCTTGATCAAGCGCGGCCTGTTGTGTCCGAGGCTGCGAGAAACCCTCAATATACGTGTAGAGCTGGCTAACTCTTCAGTGCTGGTGGAAACCCGATGATGCGAAAGAGTCTTACATGTAATTACATTTTCTGATACACCCCTCCCTTCCCACCTCGCCAAAGCGCACGCTGCACAACTTCAGATTGTGCATGTCGGTTATTCCTCACTTCTGAACTTCTAACAGCTGCTCTGTCGACCAGATTTCAGCCTAACAGAACTCCGACACTCCACGTTGTCCCAATAGTTGCTATTCCTGCATGTGACGGCGAAACTGGGAAATGCTCCTCTCGGCGGCACTGAAATGCCTTCCGGGCCACGGCTGAAGAACATGACGAATGCCTCCTGGCGCTGTTCCGACTTATCGAAGTAGCCCATCATCTCCCGCATGTGCTTCGACTTGGCGGCGCGAGGGGGCTTTGGGGTTCAGCTTCTTGTGTGTGCGGGCTTAGCATATCTTCAGACCGATCAAAGAGTGCGAAGGTTCCCGCAGTTTCAATGCGCAGGAACAGCCTTACAATAACAGGCTATAGAAAGCCAGCACAAGCTGCAGATTACAAGAAACCCTCTCTACACACGTAGTGACTGCTTTGCATCAGTGCGAATTCGCGCAAGAACCAGTCTACGTCGCAAACGGCGATCGCACTCTTCGTTGCCGGAAGGAAACACCACGTTAATCGTGATGGATATTGGGCAACATCTGATACTCCGCTGGTCGACACATCAATCTAATGTGCGAACATAATGAAATTATGACTGACAGCAGATTGAGACTGCTTTTTGCAGCCAGAGATGTGGAAATTGCTCAACTCTTGTATGCAGAAGACACCTATCGCCATGCATAAGGGGAAGGATACGCAGAAACGCAGAATGATGCATGAACACACGCGGCTAGAACAACACAACTGATTACGGCGATTACGGGGGCTGAACTTCTGCTGAACCATTCAAAGGACTGTGACATGCTGCAGCAGCTATTGCTGCTTTTGCTGTTGCCGTCATGCTATTCCCTTCCGGGCCACGGTGATGAATATGTTGTGGGAAATGGACCGCAGAACCTTCATCTTGTCCTGCAGGCGTTCACGACTTGCAAGCTTGGAGATCCCGGAAGACCGGTAGATCTCGGAAGAAGCTTTCCATACATTGTGTGGACACCACTTCCCGAGTATGCGTTTCCAGGCCGAGCTGTCCGATAAGCCATACGAATACGTGGCAGGTTCAAAGGGCTACGGACTGTCCCGATCCGGAGCAAAGAAACCTTGTAGTTCTCCGAATTGGCACAAACCGCGGGAGGAACGCCCGGAGACCTCACGTTTCGGGGATCGGAGCTCCCCATCAGAACTTGCAAAATGCCACTCTGTCGATGCTTGACGTCTCCTCGGCGCTGCACTCCGACTTGTACATGGAGACCTTAAAGCTTGGAGCCGTGTCATGGGATGGATACTGGCCCGTCGTGGCGGAAAGGGATCAGTTGGAAGTCTTATCTAAGACTCTAAGTATTGCATTGCGGGCTGTTTTGGATTTAAAGGCTTGGTTTAGGTCCGAGACGACACAGAACTGAGCCTATATGAGCCAAGAACAGAACACAACACGACTAAAGACATAGTGTAGAAGCACTGTAGAAGAAGCGATGCATGTAGTGTAACACCACTTTCTGCAGAGCAAAGTTTGCTGTCTGACGTTATTTGAGCATAATGCGGCAATACAGTAAAACTGCGATCCGCACCGTGAAGCCTCTGTTCTCCCAAACAACCGAGGTCGAAGCCATGAGCTGCTTCCACAAGCCATCGGTTAGTGCTTGCGCCTCCAGTCTTTCAATTGTTCGGTTCTTACAGAGGAGTGTGCCTTCAGAGCGTTTCACGCTTCGCAGGCTTCTGGGCGGGGTTTTCGGGAATTCGCGCGTTTGCGGGTTAGGATCGTTCACCTACACACTGAAGCGAAATGGCACATGCGGAAGCACCTTCAAGCGCCAGAACGGTGGCAAGAAGAACTAGGCAGCTGCAGACTCCCGAGTGCCTCCACGGGCGGTCTCGCGCTGGTGACATAGTCGAGCTCAAAGGCGTCTGCCTGTTGTTGTTTTGTCTGGTTTCTTGTAAAGCAGAACCGCATGCTCAAGTCAAGTCCCACAGAAGAAAGGGGGCTCAACAGAGTTTGCGACGAAACCAACTCACCAGCTACAGACTGCCGAATTCCCTCCTTTCGGCCTCCACCTGTATCCCCAACCTGCGCCCGTGAGCGACAAAGACTGGTTGCCTCCAATCCTTCTTATGCTTCTGCAACTTGTGAAATCGAGGACGGGCTACGAACTGTCGGTCAACACAGAACATACTGCAAGCTGCAACAGCGGATCCCATAGCGCCATTCCAATCTAAACTTGCTTCCGATTCCAATACCTCTATGTGTGTATGTATATGCATAAGTATATGTATGTCACTGCAGTATACACATATATATATATATATGTATGTATGTATGTATATGGGTGACCATCCATATATGTATATGCATACATACATATATACGCACGCAACCTGTGTATGTGTTCATAGAGGTGGGGACACTGCAGGCGGACACCCAGGAGCAGTCGAACTGAGAGTGCTGCCTTGCTCTGCAATCCAGTTGGCTCAGCGATCGACTAGAAACCACATGTTCAGAGTCCAGTTTCAAGAAGCTCAACTGCTGCCACACCAGCAGACTGCAGCTTCTGGGATGTGCCGTGCACCCCGGCACAGTGAGGGTTCACACATGGACAGGTTTGACATTTCACAGAACATGAGCTTAAAGTACGATGAAACCTGTGTGTTTCCGCAAACAGTTGAGCCACGGTTGCCCAACGACTTTCCCTCCATCCCGAACCAAACACCCGCGCGAAAGCTAAGTCCAAGCCTAAACTCGATGCTGTCGTGGCCTCTGGCAAGCTCCACTCTGCGACCGAGCCCGTCGTGAGCGACAGCTGCTTGCCGCCGTGGAGCTCATTCCGCACATGCGACCGGTTCCTAAGCTTACAGTAGAAGCCAGACAGGCGGAACATCCTAATTCGGTAAAGTATAGGCAATCCCTGCACTCTTCATCCTAAACCCATGTTCCAACTTTCTGGGGTTCACGGCAGCTCATGGGATTTCACTCAGGACTTAGCGCGAGCGAGGGCAACCACATCGCTGTCAATGTCAATTCTGAAGACAATACTTGGTGAACAGGTATTGAGTAAAACCGAGAGAGTCAAGCATCATCATGATTATATACACCTACACCCTTGAGCACCACCATACTCATCATCAGTGCATTTAGTTACAATCAAACTAGTGCTGTACATCGTCATCTTCATTTCCGGCATCGTAGGTCATGAGCCGCACAGTCAAAGTCGTCCTGGTGTGCGCTATCATCGACGCTGATGCAATATGCGACCATGCAGCGCCCGAGAAGAGACGTCACAGCGGCCGTTCCGTTTGTTGACGACCTCACCAATCGTAGGTCACGTTCGCATTGAGGCGATGCTCGCACCCGTATGTACACGTACATGTATGTATGTATGCATGCACACATGCATGTATACATGTATGTATGCATGTATGTAGGTATGTATGTATATGTTATGAATGTGTATGTCTATATTATGTTTATGTACGTACACTAGTAGGTATGTACCTACCACCACGGCTGTTTACTTATAACTGCATTGTAGTCGGATGATGAACAAGTTACAAGTGTGACAAATGGGTTATAATAAGTCATAAGTGGCACCGGCTTTCGTATCACCTTAGGTTTAACAGATATTCTATTTGAGCTTTTTGCGTGTTGGACTTAGGTTGGACATAAGTTGAACTCATGTTGGACTTGTGAAATACAGAATTTTCATCTTTTCAGTGCGCACATGGGCTGCTATATTCGCTCGCAGGTTTTGATCTCAGAACAGACACCTGTTCAGTTTTCTTGCACTTTTCTTCACTGGTGGGTTCACTTCGAGCGACGTGTTGTGCATGCATAGCGAGTTTATGGTGGTATCTCTTCCACAGAACTGCTGTATTTGATTCCGACTCCAGCTCGGGCGAAAATGCAGACGTCGCCGCGAGGGCTGGATGAGGTGCGTGCGGCTTTGCAGAACAGGCCTTCCTGAGACACATCGCGCGATGTCGGCGAGAAGTCCGCGAAGACATGAAGGCTTTTAAGTGCATAGCTGGATACCAGGTCCGATGCATGGTCGGGGATGTCGGCGCGGTGTCGGGGCAGGATTTGTCCAAAGAGCAAAAACGAAGCCTTTGCACATGCCTGCTGCAGGACTAGATCGGGACTCTTTGCTGTTGTATGTGCCTCCTCTTAGCCTGCAAGCTTGAGCTGTTTTGCTGCATCTGCTCACGCCTTCGTCGTGCACCGTGTATTTCCCTTTCTGTTCAGCCTGGCTCAAGCTGCGTTCTTCTGTCGCGGCTCCCGAGCTCTTGTCTTGGCTCGCCATGGCCCTTGTCTCTTCTGCGCAGGAGACCGGTCGCTTAGGCCGAACTTTTGCATTGTAAACCATCGAACAAAGCGAAGCGTGGTTCTACTTAGGCTGGACTTATAAATCAGTTACGATCCACTTATAAACTACATCTGCAAGTGCAGCTCAGGTTACTTATACCTGATTTATAACCAAAGCGCAGCGGTGTCAATATGCATGTGGTATGTACATGGTAGGTAGGTAGGTAGGTAGGTAGGTAGGTAGGTAGGTAGGTAGGTAGGTAGGTAGGTAGGTACTTGCATTGCATGTATGCAGGCATGTACGCGCGCAAGCAGCTAGGTATGTAGGAGGTAGGTATATAATATAATAATGTAGATATGCGCTGTAGGCGTTGACGTATGGACGTATGTATGCGTGTGTATGGATGGACGGACGGATGGTGTGTATGCACGTACGCATGTAGGTACGTAATCCATTCCCCCTGGCATCAAATACCCTTCCCGCCCTTCATTATAAAAAGTGCTTTCTTGTCCGGCATTCTTTGTATTAGGGTGGTTTCGGATTCGGCCGAATTGCTGATTTCCATATGAAAGCGATTCGGTAGTAGCAGTCGTAGTTGTTGTGGTGGGGGTGATGGTAAGAAGTAGTCATAGATGTCATAGTCATAGTAGCATTAGCAGTAGTAGTAGTAGTAGCAACAGTAGCCTGTAGCAGCAGCAGTAGCAGCAGCAGTAAGTGGCAGTACAAGTAGCAAGTAGAAGCGCACGAGCAGGAGCAATACCGCCGGCACTAACACTGGCACTAGCAGTAGTGGTAGTAGTAGTAGTAGTAGTAGTAGTAGTAGTAGTTGTAGTAGTAGTAGTAGTAGTCGTAGTCGTAGCAGTGGTAGTGGTGGTGGTAGTAGTAGTAGTAGTAGCAGCAGCAGCAGTAGCAGTAGCAGTAGCAGTAATAGCAGTAGTAGTAGTAG